TTTGGCATCTCCAGAGGCTCACTAAATTGCAGCCTGCCTAGAAGTTCTTCCCTGATAGGGGATGTGTCCTAAGAACCTGAGGTAAGAGGTATAGGTCCACCAGACCAGTACATGCTAGACCACCAGGCTGCAGCCTTTTTCAAGTGAGACAGTCGGTTCCTCCTCTACATAGCAAGTGGCTGGCCCTTTCCCTTCTCAGCCCCTTCCTACTGTTGCTGGACGCTGGCCTGGCTACCCCAACAGCTGCCACTCACCTTGGGACTCACAGGTGGTAACTACTACAGAGCAACTTCCTTCCCTCTCTGAAGATGAGGACTAGGAAAAGGAAAGGAGGAGAAGGAGGGGTGGGGGAGAATGATGAGGTGGTGGCAGCTAGGGTGGTCAAGATCTAATCACCAGCTCAGGAAGGGCAGAGTTAGATGCTGAGCCTTGGAGCTGGGGGCTGGTGGTAGAAAAATGGCTGACCCCTCTAAGAACAGTGGGCCAGCCCCAGGTGGTGGTGGAGGGGTGGGGTTGCGCCATTGACCTGGCAGGGTCCAGGGAGAGCAATGAGGCCAAGAGCCTTCCCGGGCCCCACCCGGTCCCCTGCCCAGGCAGTGGGCAGGGACTTGAGCCAGGGGCAGCAGCTTTAATGAGGAGATGCTGCTGCAGTGACTCAGCCCTCCAAAGGTGCCTCCATTTATTTTATTTTTCCATCATAAAAACCCAAGCTGCAACTCAGCCAGATTCCCTGGCTGTGGGGGTGGGGAACATCATCAGTGCCGAGAAGGCCTGGCTGATGCTGGCCCCTGGGCCTCTCTTGGAGAGTTCATGGGTTCCTCTGGTTGGTCTCTACCAGGAAACAAGACCCTGAGGTATGGTCTCTTTAAGGGTGCTTCCAGACCTGCCATGCTGTCTCTACCTCCTGTAAGAGAATAATGGCCTTGCTGGGCCTGGGATCCTGCATTTTTTATGCTTTATAATTAGTGTCAGAGCTGATTCAAGGCCACCTCAAAGCCCAGACCTCCCTGATGTCTCAAATACTTCTTTCCAGGAGAAGGTCCCAATGATGTACTTCTCACCTCTTCCACATGACCCTTCTCCCATACCTGCCCCCACTGAACAAAATCAAGCTGGAGGTGGAATAGCCAAAGACCTTGAAGGCCATCTGATGTTCAACTCCCTCCCAGTGTTACTGTCTGAATCGTATCAGGAAACTTTACGACTTCTAAGACAGCCCATGGTCCCCTTGACTCTGACAGCTTCTTCCTGCCAAGATGGCACCAGAGCACCTACCCCTACAACAGACTGGCAAAACCGGTGCCCAACCCGGCTGGCCCCAGCTTAGACTGGTTGAGTGGATGTACCGTTTGGAGGAAGAAAAATGAGGGCAATCTGTTCTACCTCAAAGCCAGCATGAAATCCTTTCCTTCAGAAACAGCACAAGACCATTCCCAATCCCTGGTGCATGCTGAGTTCAGCATAACTAGAGCTAGCAGGGTTCCTAGAAGTCTCCACTCTTGACAATGTCTGGCCTTGAACCCATGGCTCACAAAAGTTTTGGGAGTTTGGAGGTGGGCTCAGGGGCTGAGTTGGAGAAGTCAAATTCTTTGCTCCCTGGAGTCAGACACCACCTGGGAAATGTCTACAGCCTTTTTCTTCCTGCCTACAGACGTTGTATTCTTAAAATCCCACAGTTACTAGGAAACTCCGCTCTTAAGAACCAAGCAAAGGGACCTACCTGGCCCAGCTCTCTCGACCCCTTCCTGGCTTACCACAGTTGAAGGCTGGGGCCAGTGTGCAATGGAAATCTGCCTATGACACAAGGGGGTCCCTGCCTGTAGCCCTAGCAGAACAAAGAAACAGGCCTGGCTCAGACAGTGACACTCGACTTGCCTGCACCACACGCTACAGCCACAATGCCACATGCGTGGGCAGGGCTGCCCCTCACCAATTCCCCCTGTGCTTTGTGGTCATCCTTTTGAACTTGCCTATTTGGCCCTTTACCCAGCAGAGCCTACTGTGAATCCTCTACTGGACATTCTTTCCCCTCCTCAAGCTCCCCAGGGGAAAGAGGGGCATTTACAATCAGATCCCAGATAATCCAGGGCAAGTTCCTTCTTACACTCCACTGTTGTTTTATAGCCATTTTTTTTTTTTAGCCCTGGTTTCCAGTGTGTTCAGGCCCAGGAATCAGCCTGGGGTGGGGGTGGCTAATCCTGGGGAGCTCCCCAACTACAGGATGGATTTACCTGTGTCTAAAAGCTTCCTCCTGCTCCCCCTCCCCGTCCTGAGTCCCTCCTCCAGGGAAATCACTCTAAAAGGCCCTAATGGAACTAGGTCCTCCTCTCTTCCTCTTTCTCCTCTCTCCCTCCCTCTCTCTCTCTTTCCTTTTTTTTTATTAGCATTTGTGGAATTTATTCCCAAACTCTCCTAATCTTCCGTACACAACCATTTGATTTGCATAACCCAACCCCCTCATAAAAACTGGCTGCTAGTTTAATTAAAAAATGTAAATTTGCTGTCATCTCGGGGCCTGGTGAATTAGGACGACATCGGCATTTTTTATTGCTAAAGACGTCCAGATTGATCCAGCCCTTGGATGAACCATGGTGGGGGAAAAGGGGTCCACATGCCCCTGAGGATGTCAAGGTCCTGCTGTCCCCTCCTGAGAAGGATTCTCCCACTACTGAGTTACTTATGTCTAGAGTGCTTTGGGACCTCGATGGGTCCAGGGTTGGAAGGGCCTCTAAGTCTGATCCAATACTTGTTGGAGGTCAACAAGTCTTTGGGACCTGCACTCCTGGCCTTATACTGTGCTAACATGGCCTCTCTCAGCTGAAACTCCCCAAGCTGCTCCCAAAGGAAGAGAGCCTATACTTCACCAGCGGTGAGCCCCGGACTGTGTCTCTCATGCATTCTGGAGGTCCAAAGAAACACCCCTAGTGGCTGGAGATGAGCCTTGGGTTGGTTGGCCAAGAGACGGGCTCAGAGGAGACAGATCTGAGTCCTCATTGCTTCCCTTTTTTTGTGAAGTGAGGAAAAAGTGCTTTTCTTCTGAAGTTCTGAGATTAAGTGAAATTTCCAAGTTCAAAGAAGAGGCAGATGGCATCACTAAATGCCTCCTCTAGGAAACAGAACTTTGACCCCCTCTCTGCGTGGCCAGAGTCCAGGCCCAGGTCCCACTGGGAGTGTCCTTCTCCAGCTGACCTCCAGGCCCTTCTGGCTTCTAGGAAAAGTTTCTAGAGCCCGTCCCTGGAGTGCTAGGAGCAATTAAGTCTCCCTCAGGCTCCAGGAGGTACCACAAGAGGCCATGCCGCGTACTTCCTGCCAGGCTGTCAGGACCCCCCCAAGGAAGGCCCCTGTGGTGGCCTGGGAGGGATTGGCATGACAGCTCCAGCTGGCACCCAGGTCAGAAGGAGGAAGACAGGAGGGCCTGCCTTCTAGCTGAGTAATACCTGGGTTCGGTATGCCCGCCCACAAGCAGCCTTGCCTGTATCAGGTAAGGGGTGGTGCCAAATGCCTGGCCCATCTCTGAGGTCTGCTCCTGGGCTGGGATGGGTGGGGGCCCCATTTCCGAAGAAAGGGGGTGGGGTCTGAGAGGGAGGCATTGAGACACCCGATTAAAGGTGTGGGCGGACTATTTCTCTGTGGGTGTGGAGGGCAGGGAGGGGCAGGTAGCAGCACTGGCCTGAGATACCTTCACAACTTTGCCCAGCAGGGGGTGTCACACCCTTCCTGGGCACAGAGAGGTCCTGAGGACCTCCACATTCCATTAGCCAAGATTACACCTGTCAGGACGGTCTAAACTCTGTCAAGGTCCCCTCTCCCACAGTACACATCACTTTCCTAAAGCCAGCCACCATGTCATTCCCCACACTGCTGCCTCCCCTTTGACCTCAGAGGGTCAGATGTCAGGTCCTGACTCCCAAGGGATGACACTGTGACTTTGGGCCTATCATGAACAGCAAGTCTAACACCAGCCCTAACATCTACCTATACCATTTTTCCTTCCCTAAATGAAACAGAAGTGCTCAGAGGTCAGTCCTGATGAGTGGTCAGCATGGTTATTTCTTTGAAGATGGGTGTGGCTTTGGACAACCAAGGGTGTGAGGTCCTAGTCAAAACTTGGTTTTAATAGAGAGGGCTGGTAGAAACCTAAAGAGTGTAAAGCAAGCCTCATTCAGTTCAGGCTGGAAGCCCAGATGGGAACAGAACTATTGAATAAAATTAGATCAAAACCAGTCAAACACCAAATTCTCAGGATAAACTCGGCCCCAGGCCAACAGTGCACTACCTGGAGCAAGACCCCAGTCCCATACCAGGCTCCCCAGACCCACATGCCTAAACTTAGTCATTGGTCTCCTCCATCTCCACCTCCCAGGGTGGGGGCTAAAAAGGGGGCTGGGAGAGAGTCCTGGGCCCCTCACTTTGAACTGATAACAGCCGCCTCAGCCCACAGATTCTCAGGTGAAAAACACTCATTAGCCATAATAAGCAGCTTGATCATCCGACACAGCCTTGTCCCAAATAAATTAAATTCCTTTACCTTGAGACAGTCGCCCCGAAACCAGACTAACCACCTTTCCCAACAGGACGCTGCTTTCAAAAACTAAACCACCCCCCACTAAAAAAATAAAAACACACACCCCATAGCCAGACACACAAATCTTTACAGAGGGGAAAAAATGTATATATATGTCAAAACACGGGGCCACACAAAAAACAAGGAGAACAAAAACCCCCATAAAAACCCCCTAAATCCTCTCTCTGAGTGCCCCCCTGTCCTCTCGGTTCTTTCATAATGACAAGCATCAAATTAGTCACAGTCACTAAGCAAGTAGCAAATAATAATATCGCCATCCAGAAAGCTGGGCAAAGCAGAGACGGCAGCTCCGACCCTCCGCGCCGGCCCGCACCCCCCGCTCAGCTGCGAGCTCATTGGGCTAAAAATAATAACTTCCGTAAAAGAACCGAAAGAAAAGTGAAAGAGCCTCCCGTGGGTTCTCACCGGCCCGTACCTGTTCCAAGATCCATTCTCCGCTCCTTGGTCCCAAACTCTTCGAGGAACGCCACGAAAAGAAGAAGAGGGGAGAAAAGAATCTGTTTAGTGTCTCGCAGGCCCCCGGCCCCCGCCCGCCCGCTGTCCCTCCCCGGCTGGCCGGGCGCATCCCGGGCTGGGGGCGCGGGCCGGGCCGGGCCGGGCCGGGCCGGGCGGGCGGCGGCGGGGAAAGTTTGCTCCGCGCCTCCCGCCCGCTCTCACGCTCCGGCCCGCAAGCTCCCGGCAGCTCCCGAGTTCCTTAAACTAAAACAGAAACTGCCCGTGACCGTGGCCCGACCGGGGACCTAGCCCGCGAGGCCGAGGGGCCCCCGCCCCGTCCCGCCGCCCCGCGCGGGGGTCGCCGCGAGCGCCCGGCCCGGCCCTCCCCCGCCCGCTCCCGGTACTCACCATAGTCGGAGAGTCGAAAGCCGAATTCACTTAAATAATCAACTTTCATAATACTTAATTAATGCCTAATTGCAACTGATTACTCCCCGAATAACAAGTTGTTTTAAAACCCTGATGTCATTGCTCCTGACGGTAACACTCAGGGTAACAGTTTGGCAGGAGGGAGAGGGCGGGCGGGAGCGGCCGGGCGCTGCCAGGCGCCGAGGTGATTGGCAGGGCGGCTTCGGTACCGCCCCTCGCCGGGTCCGCGCGGCTCCGGCAGGTGAAAGATCAGACTCGGCCCGCCTGCCGCCCGCGCGCCCGCCCGCCTCGCCGCGGAGCTGGGGTGAATGGGCGCGCGCTCGCCCGCGCCGCGCTCGCTCCTCGCTCTCGCGCGCGCACTCTGCGCACCGGCTCGGGCGGGCGGGCCGGCTGCCTTATTGGCTCAGTGACTCCCCAAACCTTTGACTTCAGGAGGAGGGAGGCGGGGACTCTACGCTCGGGGCCGCGTGGGAGGAGGCTGGGTGTGTGTGTGTGTGTGTGTGTGTGTGTGTCTGTGTGTGCGTGTGCGTGTGTGTGTTGGCGGTGGGGGGGGTAGGAAGCGTGTCGAGCGGCTAGAGCGAGGCGCGGGGATGGCGCTCGCGCACACGCACCAACTCTCGCCGGCCGCCGCCGCGGGCGCGCGCGCACTCGCGCGCTCCCCTCCGCCGCTCCGGACCCGAAAGCGCGATCCGACGGCCGCCGCGCGCGCCCCCCTCACGCGCCACCGCCACGCGCGCCCGCAAACTTTTTCGCGGAGGCCGGCGCAGGTGCGAGGGCGGGGGTGTCACAGGGCCGCACCAACCAGGCAGCGCGCTCTGGCGCTCCCCTTCGCGATGCCGGATGGCTCGGAGCTTCTGAGGTGTCAAAGGGGTTTTGGGTTTTCCTTCTCACACTCCGGTTCCATCATTTTGTTGTGGCTCTTTTGAGTTCGAGGAAGAAAGGAGTCCCTGGCGGCGGAGTTGGGTGTGTCGGGGGAACTCGCACGTCAGCCTCGCGCTCCCCCGCACGCACCCCCGCGCGCCGGCCACGCGCTCTTGGGAGCGCCCTCCTGGGACTCACTCTGGGGTTTCCACTGCTTCACTTTGGTTTTTGCCCTTAAAATGGGTCTCGGTGGCCTGCATGGCCGCCGCGCGCCTCCCGAGCCTTTCTTCTTCCTCCTACCTCGCAGTTGGGCCACCGGCCCCACATCCCGACACACCCGCTTCTTCCCTCACAGTCCCTCGGCAGCCTTTTCTCGCCCATTCCCAAGCACCAATACGCGCCATTACTTAGGCTTCCTCCCTACCTGGTCCCTTGGGCCGCTGCGCACAGAACATAGGCACCCCTCAAACTAGGTGCCAGCGTCCTGCCACCTGCTCCCCCAGTATCCCGGGGTCAGGCCCTGCTCCCTCTGACATCGGTCCTCATTTCCTGTCTGCCAGCTCAGGACTGGACCAAGCGCTGTGTTGTCTCCTTGACGTTTCTTTTCTCCTAGAGAGTTTGGTGGGTCCCTCAGCCATGGTCCGCACAGATCCCCGACGTCCGTGCTGCAGCCATCCTTGTTAATGACCCAAGTCACCCATCTGGCCCAGAGGGGCTCAGGAAAAGCGCCCTGTGCGGAGCAGGGCTATTGGCAGCTTTGCTGAGGCAAGACCTTCTCCCACTGTCAGCAGCTCTCTTTCCTCTCCTCACCTAGCTTATTACCTTGCTCTCTCCCTACCATCTTTCACTCCTGTTCTAGGAGGGGCCTCACTGCCTTCCCATGAGGGGAAGAGAACCAGGCCCTGGTCTGGGCAGCGTTTGACAAAATGGCGCTGGCCTATTTTTGCAATATTTCTATTTTGCAAAGGGAGGGGCCCAAGGAGGCCTTGGGGCAAAGACGTCAAGGGAGTTAACAATCTACTCTTTCTCCTACTTTCCCCTTATTTTTCCTTTTTTATTTATTTGGTTCTTTAGTTCTAAATGGCCTCATGGAGAGTGTGACATCCCCTCCCTGATGCCTTCTTGGAATCCCCCATTCCTGGCTGTCACATACCCTTCCGGCCTGTCCCCATCCCTATGTACAAAGCAGCGGGAGAGGCTCAGTTTTACCGAATGTCCCCTGGACTTGAAACCATGAATAAGGGGACAGAGTTTTTTTTTTAAAACCAGTGCTCCCCAAAGGCTGGCCCCAGGGAAACCAGGCAGGGGGATCATGTGCTCTGTTCCCCACTGGGATCTCAGAGAGGCATCTCTGTCTCCAGGACTGCTCTAGGGCACACACCTGCCTGTGGGTGCTGCTACCCAGGACTCCAAAGCAAGGATTCTGCCCTTTTGCAGCTTTGGCTTGTATCAACAGGTGAGCAATCTCACACACCAGTCTTGAGCCTTTGCTTTTCTGTCTGGGCAACCAGGTATAGAAGAAAGTTTGATGCCAGGTGTGGCTGGATGACTTCTGGGTACATTTGAAGATGTCTATGCAGACAGAGACTCCCTGCATAGGGAACCCACACAGACTCTGGTTGGCTTTGAATGCCCCTCTGGGCTTGTGTTGATGGTGGTCCAGGCTGATCCTGAGGAGAGCCTGGGCAGACAGGAAAGTATCGCTCCTCCTAGTTACCTAGGTAGTGCTAACCACATTGGCCACCCAATAACTTTGTAGCCTCTGCTGGGCGAAGGTGAGGAATGGCTGACAGGGCATGCGAGAGAGCTGGAGAGGCAGCTGCCGAAAGGCTGAGGCAGCTGGACATTAGGGCCATCTAGAAAGGCTGCCACACTGGTCCATGGTGAAGAGAGGTGTGGGCTGCCTGGAGCGCAGTGGCCACATCAGCTAAGTATGCCGAATAGGCCCTGCCCAAGGACAAGGAGCCTTTGCTGGAGATCAGAGAAGCAATAAACTAAGGCCAACTTGGAGTGTTAGGATTTGAGGTCTAAGCAGAAAACCGAAGTGTTAAGGCCATGGAGCACAAGGCTGAGGCTGTGTGACGGAAGGTCACCAGACCTCTCCCGCTGTCTGTCCCTGCGTGTATGCTCACACCAAGGAGAGAAGCCAGCCTGGAGCTCAGGTGTCTCTTAGAACTAAGGCCCTCTTTTGCCTTGATGACCCTGACATGGAGCCCCTGACACCAAGCTACCATGCCTAAACTCAGGGGATGAAACACCCAATGTCATAATTCCTCCTCATCTCCAGACTCTGGGCCCAGAGCCTCCGGCTCCTGCTAGGACACCCAGTCCAAAATAAAAAGCAGAGTGGAAACCTCCACAGTAACCGCACCCACCCTGGCAGCCCACACTGGTGCCCCCTCTCCCTAGTCACACTGCCACGCTGGCTCCCGTCCTCCCACACCCCCAGTGTGCCCACTCATTCTTTCTCCCTCCCGAGCCTGGGGCCTTCTCACTCACCGACCTGTTTACACACCAGGTATCTCATGCTTTATCTGCTCTCATTTTGAATTTGTAACTTTCACATAAACTTGAACAAAGCTCCTTTTGTTCCTGCACCCCACCCCAGGATCCAATAAACTGGTTCCCTCTGAGGCGACGGGCCAGGGCACAGAAGCCTTGCCAAAGACTGCGTGTGCATGTGAGCAAGCATGTTCGCACCTGTGAGGGAATCCGGTGTTTGCGTTGAGTGTGCTCCCTAGGCCGATGGAGGGAGGGGGTCAGGGAGAGCAGAAGTGAGCAGTGTGGAACAGGAAGCATTGGGGTGGGCACAGGAGGGCAGAGCTGAGGCCCACAGTCTGGCCTGGACATAGCACGGATTCAGCCCAGCAGGCGGCTGAGATTGTGGGCAAGACAAATAGATGTCAGGTAGGGGGCAAATGAGGATGAAGAAGATATAAAGGGGAAGAGAGTGGCAGGGTGGGTGGCGAAGAGAGGGGCTGAGGCCACGCTAAGTGTAAGGCAGACACAGGATCGCATTATGGGCAGGTAGGGGCTGGCACAGCCGCACGCTCGCCCGTAATCCTGTTAGCCAGCAATCTCCATTCCGAAGAGCTTCATTTCTTTGTGAATATTTGTAAACTAGATATCAATGGAAAATTATAGGAAAATTATAGTGAAATTCATGACGGAGAAATCCGATTATCCCTAATTCAATTATGCCATCTTAGCCCACACAGCACATTTCCCATTTTTTTCCCATAAATACCGATGCCAGGGGTCCCGGTAATCAAATAAAATTGAAAAACATCTTCCATTAAATTCAATTAGCCGCAATTTCTAAAGCCTATCAGAGATTTTAATTACTAAATTATAAAATTCTCCAATGCTAAATTGAAACCAAAAAAATTGCACATCCTTATATTTCAGAGAAAAAAAAAAAAAAGGCCAGCAAAATCCTTGAAAAATGCCCTCCTCTATGTCCAGATCCAAAGCAGCTTCCCCACTTGGAGGGACTTCTCAATTGCTGCTTCCCGCTCAGCTGCGATGAAAGGGGAAGAGGGCAGAGGAGAGGGCCCTGGCAGGGGAGGGGCCGAGGTATATTAGTCTAACAGAGGGGTGAACCACACCCCTAACCCCCACCGACATGGGCCCACTGGCCTTCCTCACTGTCCTGGCTCCTGAGATGTCCTCAGATCTGTCCTCCACTGGGAGGTCTCTAATTCTCAGTGCTACCTTCTTGGCCTGTGA